TGATTTCTCGCTTTCTATCTCTCTGTCTCTCTCTGTCTGGCGAGCGCATGTGCCCTATAGCAAAAAAAAAAAACCCTCTCCAAAAAAAGAAAAAAAAAGATTCTACATGATAGCTGACAATCTGAACATCCCCATTTTACAGAAATGAAATGAAAACTGAGAAGTTTGTTGAATTACTGCACATCTCACAGTAATCTGGCCACTAAATGTAGTGATTTGGCCTAACTACAGGCCTATCAGCCAAATTTAGTTCCTCTAGTTAATGGCAGAAAAGATATATAGTCCTCACTGGTATTATCAGAAATCCTTGGGACCAGCAGTTAGCATAACGGCAGACCCGGTGGCTTAAACTCACGCTGGACGTGTGTGTGTGTGTGTGTGTGTGTGTGTGTGTGTGCGCGCCAAAGATTCAGAGGGGAGGAGGGATTATGGCGTGGCCATACTCCCTGGGGAGTGATTTCTTGCTTTCTGTCTCTCTGTCTTTCTGGCGAGTGCATGCACCCTATAGCAAAAACCTTAAAAGAAACCTTTATAAAATTATCCTGATTTGTTAGCTCTTCCACTCTTTCATATTTGGCCCTTTTCTCAAAAAAGATGCAAGTATATTGGTCAGAATTATGATTAAAGTACGGTAAGCAATATCATCATATTAAACAAGTGAAAGTTGGCATTTTAAAATCCCATCTCACAGGCCAGCAAGTGGTATGGTAGTTGAGATGCTAGATCCCACATGGCCAATTCCAATTCAGAGTTGTGGACCTGGCAGCCTGACTAAACTCGCCAGGTGCAGGAGCGTGTGTCCTCAAAATCCGAAGAGGAGAATGGAGGAGAAGGGACTATAGTGTGGCCACCCCCCATTGGGGGTGATTTCTCACTTTCCCTTTCTTTCTGTTTCTGTCTCTCCCCAGGGAGTGCACGTGCCCTATAGCAAAAACCTTAAAAAAAAAAAAAAAATCCCATCTCACATACAGTAAAATTCCCTTAGCCAAAATTTTGCCTACACTTAACTACATTTAAGATTTTTTAAATTTTTATTTTAAGCTTGCTGATATGCAGAATATTGGTAAGATGGCTCCCTGATAGTTGACAATTTTCTACAGCAAAGAGATTTATTACTTTTGGGGCCAGCAGGTGGCATAGTGCTTAAGGGCATTGGAATCCCACATAGTCAACCACAATTAAAGTCCTGGACTTGGAGGCTTGCTTTCTCACTTTCCCTCTTTCACTCTCTGTCGCTTTCAGGTCAAATTAAAATAAATAAATTAATTAATAAAGTTAAATAAAATAATTCTTCAGAAAAGAGATTTATAACTTTTAAAGAAAATAATTATTTAATTTTATTTATTATTATTATTATTCAGTTTGACCAGAGAGAGAGGGGGGGGGAAAGGGGAGGGAAAAAGCAAGCCACCAGGGCTGGGACTTGAACCACGGTTGGCCATGTGGGAGTCCAACATCTTAACCACCACACCACCTGCTGGCCCCAGATTTATGACTTGTCATGTGAGTGATAAAATATTAGGTTGTCGGGAAAGACATGACGTATTTTTCTATGTAAAAAGTGTCATGACTTATTAACTACACTAACTAGATAAAGATCACCTAAGTTCAATGGCTGACTTGTTTGCATTCTTATTCCAATCTGGTCCATTTAGATAGATGATCACTTCCTTACAAAAAGTACACAGAAGGTAAAATTCAAGCTGACCTATCAGACTCAATACCAGTACAATTACTACATTGTATGAAATTTTAAAAAATCATAATTGGAAAAATTTCAATTACATGAGACTATGCCAAGAGAGAAATTTAAAAATACTATAACATGAATGGAGATTTTTGTAAATGTTCTTTATTTAAATTTGTACATCTGCCATGTATTTATGGCAGGGGCAAATTGAAAATTAATTCTAAAACATTCATTTTTGAATCTGCTGTGCATGTATGGCAAATACAGATTGAAAACTAATTTCAAAATATTCAAGGAATACTCTGTGAAAGATGACACGTTCTTATACCTTTGTGTCCAGCACGGTAGCTGCGGCCACACACCACACACGGCTGCTCAGCACTTGCAATGCAGCTGGGGCAACTGAAGAACTGACTTTCAGACTTTATTTCATTTAAATTAATTTAAATTTAAATAGCCACAGGAGGCTAGTAGCTATCAAATCAAACAATACAGCTCCAGGATATCAAACTAACCAAAGGTACTATAGACTACAAATGTTTAAGCAACCACAGAAATGGAATTTGTAGAAACAAATTATTTTGCTACAGCTAAATCACAACTAAAACAATTTCTAATGTTAAAAATCTGAATGTTGGTTCTTACACAATCTTTACCAATATTGTAATGCTTTGTACATCTTTTGTTTTAGTCCTTCTTAATCAAAAAGAATACTGTTTTGTTTTTTTTTTTTGGAGAGGTTTTTGCTATAGGGCGTGTGCACTCGGCCAGAAAGACAGAGACACACAGAGAAACAGAAAGCGAGAAATCACTCCCCCAGGGGGGATGGCCATGCCGCAATCCCTTCTCCTCCCTTCTCCTCTCTGGATCTTGGGCACGCATGCACACATGCCGGCGTGAGGTTAAGCTACTAGGTCTGGGACTCGAACTGCGGCCGACTACATGGGAGTTCAGCGACATAACCATTACGCTAACTGCTAATCCCGAATACTGTTAATTATTATGAATAAAATTATATACTTATCTATAGTAATCCACGCTCTTTGTGTGTCAAATGGAGGAATACAATGGACTTTGCACCAATGTCGATTCTCTCTCTCTGCCTCTCCTCCCCCCTCCCCCCAGTATTTTTGCCATAGGGAGCATTCACTTGCCAAAGAGAGAGAGGAAGAAACGAAAATCATCCCCCAGGGAGGATGGCCACACTGCAACCCCTTCTCTTCCATTCTCCTCTTGGAACTTTGGGCACACAGGCATCTAGCATGTTTTTCAAGCTACTTGTCTGGGACTCGAACCATAGAGTCAGCCATGTAGGATCCAGTGCCTTAACCACCATGCCCCCTGCTGGCCCTCTCCTTTATTTATATTAGTTAAGTCACTGACCAAGTTGCAACACCTTTTGAAAAAATGACTGGAACAGGTATAAGAGGTAAGAAGGTAATGAGAGGAATATAAACTTACCATGACCATTTTCCTTTGTTCATATAGCTTCTGTAATTGGTAAGACTTTTCCTCTGCTTTGATGTAACCTTTCTTCACATCATCCACAGCCTGTAAACAAAACAAAAGGCAGGGAAGAAAGGACTGAGAAGTCATTATCGAGTACACGCAAGCAAGAGGGAGAAAGAAAGAGAGAGAGAAAGCGCCCCCTGGGGGGGGGGAGACTTGTGCCTGTCACAGTTCCCTTCCTTCCATTCAGCCTTCCCACCAGGATTCTAGGCACATAGGCTCACATGCCCGGCGTGGTTTATAGCTGCCAGGGCTGGGATTCAAACCACATGGGTTGAACATGTAAGACTCTGGCTCTCTCCACTGTACCATGAGGCCAGCCCCCAAGAACACTCTTGATAAAAATAGACACACAGGGCCAGCAGATGGTATGGTGGTGAAGGTGCTACATCCCCACATGGCTAATCACAGTTCCAGTCCTGGACTCAGCAGCTTGAAAATCATGCCAGGTGCATGTGCATGCGAGCCCCAAATCCCGAGAGGAGAATGGAGGGGAATGGACTACGGCATGGTCATCCCCCTGGGGGGTGATTTCTCCCTTTCCCACTCTCTGTCTCTCTCTGGTGAGTGCATATACCCTGTGGCAAAAACCTAAAAAGATAAGTAAATAAATAAACAGACAGAAACACATTTTCAGAAGACTCCTATCCACTTGGACTATCATCACCTTGAATTCTGCCATGTGGGTGTATTTATTGGAATAAAGACAGTCTGGGTCCAGCCTAGTGGCACAGTCAGTAGCATACTGAACTGCAGTTCAAATCCCCTGCCTGGTGAGCCTGGGACACAATGGGCCTGTGCCCAAAATCATGATGAGTTGGTGGCTGGAGAAAGACTATCGTGATATAACAAGACCCTGTTAAAGGTGCTTTCTCTTTCTCTCCTTCTCATGCGCATGGATGTGCTCTCTTTAAAAAAAAAAAAAGTTCTAAAATTTTGGTCTGCTGATCCTTGTGAAACCTATCAGAGAGCACTGAGTCAGGATATGGTACTGCGCTAAAGGTGGCGATGAGGTAGCGAGTGTCCAGGAGATGGTGAGTGACACATGCAGTCAGGAGAGCTTATTGCTAATTGGCATTATCAAGGAAGCCTTGGGTGGGTCTCCAAAAGATTGACTGAGTAAGAAAAACTCTGAGCTCAAGTCAAGAGATAGATATGGGTTTGAGGGGACCAGCGGGTGGCGTGGTGGTTAGGCGCTAGAATTCTCACATGGCCAACTGCAGTTCGAGTCCTAAACCTGGTGACTGGCTTCCTTGCTCTCCCTCTGTCTCTGTGTCTTTCTCTGGCAAAACTCATGTGGAAAAAAAATTAAATAAATAAAAATAATAAATAAATAGGGTGAATAATTCTTATATATATATAAAAAAGAAATGGCTTTGAGTTTTTATCAGGAAACAGAACTGCCTAATTAGAATGAAGGGGACATGTCGGGGACAATGAAAGATAATGCTGGATTATCATCCCCCTCCATATCCTTAGGTTAACAATAGATTATGAAGGACCTAAAAAGCAGGCACAGGAATTTAGAAGTAAAGAAATACTCAGTAAGGAGCTAAAATATTATTATTATTTTTTACAGAAAGATTGATTCAAGTCTGAGTGCAAAATAAATTAAGCTGAGGAGAGAATGAAATAAAGGAGATCACACTGTTGTGGTATTTAAGGTAGAAATCATTTCCCATACTCTTTTCTTTTTAAAAATTATTTATTTAATTTTATTCGATATTATTTATTTTTCAATTTGACAGGAGAGAGAGAAAGGGAAAGTAAGAAAGTGAGAAAGCAAGTCACCAGGTCCAAGATTAGAACTGTGGTTGGCCATGTGGGAACCTAGTGCCTTCACCACCACGCCACCTGCTGGCCCCTCCCATACTCTTTTAAGGAATAATAGTTGGGAAACAAAGATGAGTTCAGGGCTCAAGTCAAGAGATGAGCTCAGAGAGCCTGAAGGTGGAGCAGCCATAAAGCAGAATGCTCCGTGAGGCTGGGGCATGTGGGAAGTCTGCAGTGTAGACTGGAGTCCTCTGGCGTACCCCTGGTACTCACACAACCATGACCCCGGCCTGCTGAAGCTCTGGGTGGGCTGCAGTGCCAGTCAGAGGTGCTGTGTCTGTCTCTCTCACTCATGGAATACATAAACTTAAAAAAAAAATGAAGGACCTGCAGGTGGAGTAGTAGCTAAGGCACTGGACTCCCACATGGTCAAACAGCATTCAAGTCCCAGACCCCATAGCTTGAAACTCATGCTGGGCCCCTGTGCATGTGTGCCCAAGATCCCGAGAGGAGAATGGAGGAGAAGGGATTGCGGAGTGGCCATCCCCCCGGGGGATGATTTCTCACTTTCTGTCTCTCTGTCTCTCTCTGTGTCTCCTGCAAGTGCACACGACTTATAGCAAAAAAATCTCTCTAAAAAAAAAAAAAAAAAAAAAAAAGAGTTCAACTGCTAGCTCTGTCACTTACCACTGTGCACTTGAGTAAGTCACTTAAACCCTCTCAGTCTGTACAACACGAACAATACCTCATATTTGCATAACAAAATGAGAAAACAGAGGCTGGGAGTTAGGTATCTACAAACGGTCCTTGGCATCACTGCTACTGGGATCACGAAGCTGCTCAGTTCTTTAAGAAGCACACGAGTACTGACGTCCTGCCTGGGACTGCCCAGTGGAAAGATTCTCCTGTCTCTCCCCAGTCCTGGCCATACAAACGAGGGCTCACACAGGGAATGAATGCTCAACACTGCCACACAACCACCTAAAAACTGAACACTTGACCGCCAAAAGACCTGCCGCCCCAGGCCAAGTTTCAACCAATTCCTGAGGAGCTAGAGAAGTAAAGAGGGGAGGTAAACAAGGGCTGGTCTCTCCAGGTTCCCAGGCAACTTAGGTGTTGTAATATTTAGCTGCAGAAAAGCTTTGACAATTCGTTCTCTGATGACTAAAAAATAAAAAATACTGATTTCTGTTTTGTTCATATCCCCAATACCTAGAACATGTCTGACTCATAATACTACTTAAATATTTGATGAACACTTCCCCAGAAGGGGGGGGGGATTATCTACTGCAGCAACTCTAACTGAACTCTTTTTCACATGGGGCAGTAAAAATGTCCTCCCTCCTTTCATTTCTAATCAAGGTTATATCGTTCCATCAGCCCTGAGTGTAAAACATAAATATCACATCTGATTCCTTTCTTTCTTAGTTAAAGACAAATTTTATTAAAGTAAAAGACAGTACTAAAAAAATAGCACTGGGACCAGCAGTAGGTGTAATGACTATGTTTCCAGACTCCCATGTAATCATCCGCAGTTTGAGTCCTGAACCTGGTGGCTTAAACTCACGCTGGGCGCATGTGTGCGTGCCCAAGATCCCGAGAGGAGAATGGATTGCAGTGTGGCCATCCCCCCGGGGGGTGATTTCTCGCTTTCTGTCTCTCTGTCTCTGTCTTTTTGGCAAACACATTGTGCCCTATAGCAAAAACCTCTCAAAAAAAAGCACTAAAATAAAATAAAAATAGGGGTCGGCAGGTGGTGTGGTGGTTAAAGGCACTGGACTCCCACATGGCCGACTGCGGTTCAAGTCCCAGACCTGGTGGCTTGCTTTCTCAGTTTCCCTCTCTCTTTTTCTCAGTCTGGCTTGCTTTCTCAGTTTCCCTCTCTCTTTCTCTCAGTCTCTCTCTGATCAAACTGGAAAATAATAATAATAAAAGTTAAATAGAATAATTCTTTTAAAAATAAAATAAAAATAGTTTCTGATCCCAATGCCTCATTCTACAAAGGCAACTATTTGTTTTTAATTAATTACTATTTAATTTGCTATAGGACACACATGCTCACCAGAAAGACAGAGAGAGCGAGAGAAGGAAAGTGAGAAAGTAAACCACCAGGTCTGGGACTTGAACTGCTATCAGCCATGTGGGGTACAGCACCTTAATGACAAGACCACCTGCTAGCCTCAAGGCAACTACCCTTAAGCAGTTTCTTCTAATATTCCTTCCTTGATCCTAAATGTAATGCTTATACTGTAATTCATGACTTACCAATTTTAGACACTACTGATTTTTTGTGTTAAAAATACTAGGTTTGGGGGCAGTAGGTGGTGTGGAGGTTAAAGTGCTGGATCCCACATGGCCGGCCACATGATCTGAGTCCCAGACCCAGTGGCTTGAAAATCACACTGGGCACGTGTGTGTGTGCCCAAAATCCCAAGGGGAGACTGGAAGAGAAGGAATTGTGGAGTAGTCATTCCCTGCCCAGGGGAGTGTGGGCAGGTGGTTGATTTCTCACCTTTTCTCTCTGTTTCTCTCTGGTGAATACACATGCCCAGTAGTAAAACAACAACAAAATATTAGGTTTTAGCTCTCTATACCACCCAAACACTCCTAATACCCCTTCCCACAACCTCTCAATAAAAAATGAAGGGGCCAGTTGATGGCATGGTGGTTAAGGCACTGGATCCCACATGGCTGACTATACAGTTAAGAGTCCCCAACCCAGCAGCTTGAAAAAAACACTGGGCACACATGCATGCATGCTCAAAATCCCAAGAGGAGAATAGAGAAGGGATTGTGGCATGACTGCCCCCACTAGGAGGGTGCTTTCCACCTTTCCTACTTTCCCTTTCACTCTCTCTCGGGCAAGTACACACACCCGCTAGTAAGTTAAAAAAAAAAATCAGAATAATGGGCTAGTCTGTGGTCTCATGGTTACATGAGTGGGATACCACATGGCCAGCTCCAGTGGTTTGAAAACTAAGCAGGGTATGTGTATGCATGCCCAAAATCTTGAAAGGAAGGAGAAATGGAGGAGAAGGGATTGGGGTGTGATCATTTCCATGGGAAGGGGGGGCTTGCCCCCCCCCCCCCCCCCTCGGGGCCCCTCTCTT